ATTCACTATGCCAAACTTAGACAGAAGACATGGAGGTCATTTTGGAACCCCTGGGAGTATAAGGGGTGCGCCAAGGGGAAACAAAAAGCACATAAATTACTAATCAAATAGAAGGATTTGTTGGAGTACGAAGCCACATGGGGCCATCGAGATGATCAGGAGAAAGTTCTCACTCTTCCACCTTGAGTATAAGGGGCATCTTTGGGGAAGGAGTATTGATACGCCAAGGGGGGTGGGGGCCTATTATTCATTATGTAAGGAAGATATATTACGGTGGAGCTGTTCAAGTTTTAATTATTTAGGAAGGTTTTAATTATTTAGGAATGTTTTCTAATTGTGTTTATGCTGTTTTTGAAGGTTTTAATTATTTAGTAAGGTTTTCTAATTGTGTTTATATTGTTTAAGAAGGTTTCAATTGTATTTATTGTGTTAGAGGGATATTTAAGAGGAAGTTTTGTCTAGGGTTAGGAACTTTTGTTTGTTGTATTTTATTTATAGGGTTTGTCCAAAGTTCTTGGCTACGGCTAGGATTTGTGAGAGAGCTGATTTACCTCTCAAATAGTAGATAAATTGTATATTGCCTTATTATTGAAGGATAAATAAAAAATCAACCCCTACCTTTGTGTTCGTACATTCTTTATTCTCATTTACTTTTTTTTTACTTCCAAGACGCATCAAAACCCTAACAACATGATAAGTTTTGGTTATATAATTTGACTCCTAAACAACACTTAATTTTCAATACATTGAACCTCAACCTGCTTTTTAGAGTTCATGTATTCATTGACCTTGTCTTAAAAGTTAAAACCAAATCAAGAATCAAATCAATTAAGTGAGAATCCAATGTTAAAATACAAACAAGATTTGATGCTCCAAGCATTCATGAAAAGGATAAATTATTACAATTTGGGCATAAAAAAATTAGGATTAACGAGAATTTTATGATCAAATATATTGATGAAGATTGCCAACAATGGTAATTTCCAGATCACATCATTAAGACTAAAGACCAAATCAATAGGAGTCTACAGGTGAAGATGGATCGTTGATCGAAAATCTGATGATCCAAATCTAAATGTAGGAAATCTAGATCATTGGAGGATGATTATAAGGAAAATGTGAATTGTCGTGCAGGTGCAGGTCAATCCAAGGATCCTAATTTAGCCAACAACCCTATATAATTTTGTATTCAAAACTATATAGCACCGATACTCCTATTTACGAAGTGTCATGTATCCGTATCGTGTCGTATCCGTGTCACTATATTCGTATCGATGCAACATATATTCAAAATGATAGCTTTTTATTTTGTGAAGTTATTTTATTAAGGATAAAATTAACCTTGAATTTTTTGTAATTTGCCTATTTGTAGGTCTTTTTTCAACAACAAGATTATCAAACTCCTCCCAAAAAAAATCTCTTTTCTTCTCTACCACTCAGTAGTTGGGCATCCCAGCAATAAAAAAGCCACTGTTTCCTTGCAGACTTTACCAATCACTCCTACTCTAGCTGTTGCCATGTCCTAAAATCTATAGTAAGAAAACTTAGTGAAGGTTTCATTATTTTAATTAATAGAACATTGTTGTGCCTCCTTAAAAAATCCTATACCCTTTACTTTGTATGTTTTAGCCTATTATTATAGATTCACATCATAACATTAAAAGGTTAGCATCAAATTAGTAATATAAACATCATCCCTAGCCTTTGGGGTCCTCCTAGGATGAGGCAACTTATGATTGCAAAAAAAACACCCAACGGTCACAACTTCAGCTTACTGATCATAAGCTGAAAGTCACTAGAAGCTCAGAACTCTATGAACATGGTAACAATAAGCTCCATGGTATAAAGAAAATAGTTAAAGAGTAAATCATTCCCAAATTCTAAGCTATACCATCAAAATCAAGGCTCTGTGACTCATTGAATTATGATTCACTTGGTAAATTCCTACATGATAAAACTATAAGATCATGAAATGGTTTACCACCTACCCAAACCTATTTATCAAAGCACCAAGCAACAATATGATCAATATATAATAACATCTAAAATAGAGAACAATATAAAGACTAAAGCTAAGCAGCCTCTTTAATCGAGAAAGTTTTCTCAATTAAACTAGGTAATTAACTATGAGAATTAGTGCTTATAATAAGTTTTAAAGCACATCAAAATAAAACCCTAACAGAGTAATAAAATTTGGCTATATAATTTGACTCCTAAATAACACTGAACTTTCAATATGGTAGACCTCAACTTGCTTTTCAGAACCAAGCATTCTTTCTTCTATCTTAAAATCAAATAAAGAATCAAATCAATTTGTTAAAATTTATAGTCTTAAAATCCCAGCATAATTTGATTTGCTAATATGATAATTATTACCAATATTAACATTTTCTATAGTCAAGGCAATGCGACGTGTTGGATCTAGGAAGAGATCATATAAAACCTCGATCCATCCTCTCCTCTACAACTCATCCTATTCCAATTATTTCAACATAAACTCATTACAGTCCAAATTATTGGTCATATAGTGCCCACACCCAAACCTTTAAATTTATATGTCCCTTGTTAGTGCTAACATTGCAGAGTGGGGATGCAAATTGGAGGATTTGTTCATCAATCCATGAGTTTAGGCTCTTTGATAGGATGGCAATGATGGCTACTTGTTGGAAGAGAAAGGAGAGAGTTAGGAAAGCCAAGGAGTTATCTTGTAATACATTGTTGAAGAGGAAGAAAGTGTGGGAGATAGAGATTGAAGAAAGGGAGTAGGAGAATGGTAGAAAGGGGGATTGGGTGATGAGAGGAGAACCAAAAGGGGCTGAGTAATTTTCTTTATATTCATTATTTCAGAAGTGTACATAAGGGTTACTAAACATAGGCATAGGGGGCCAAACCATATCACTTATTCATACAACAAGTAATCCTTAAATGCTTGGAAGTCCAAAAAAATATAAATGATCAGCTATGAAGATGCATCAATGATTACATTAAGTATTGATGTTAATGGGTCAGATTTGCATTATCTCCAATAGGTAATAAAGAACTCTCCTATGGAAAATGAAAGTGGAGGTGGTTATTTCTAAGAACAAAGGTAATAGGCAAAACACTTCAAAGGAGATACATAAGCAATTTAGGGGAAGGAGATGATGATGATCATAACCATAAGCCCTATTAACTAGTGTGCTAATAAGAAAGATAGGAATAGGAGGTGATGAGGCTTAGGGAAGTAGTAATCTCACTTTAAGAAACACTATCAAGTAATTAAAGGGGCTCAAGGCTCTATCTAAAGACCAAATGATTTTCAAAGTTAAAAATCAAGCTAATGTTAATCTTCTAAGGAAATTCAATAACATGTGCATTACGTTTTGTAAGGGCCAAGAAAAAATAATGTGGAGCTATTTAAAGATTTTTTGAGGAAAGCATTTCAGTGGATACAAACAAGAATATAACGCCCTTCAAGGAATTCTTGAGCACTTCTATGAGTGCTTGTTATACTCCTATAATATTTCCAATTTGTTTAGCATTATGGCAACAAATATCAATATGAAATTATGGCATTTGAACATAATGCATGTCGGGGTAAAGTGCTAAGATATATAGCTGGATTGTGATGCATGCCATTAATAACTTCAATAGTTGGTGACCAATTGTGTGGTTAATTGAATTGGTACGAGAGAAAATTGTAAGAGTATTAGATCCCAAGTGCCCAAGCAATCCCCAACAAACTTCATAGTAGGTTAGCAAGAGAATGATTTAGGACTTCAATTTGGCAATTAATTTAAGGGTAAAAGGCATATAAAAATATCAAAGTTATGAGAAAGTGTCAAAAGGGTTTTCCAAAAGGGTTTTCCAAAAGTATTCTGATAGAAAAATGAAGGTATTTAACTATTTTTACAATCAAATTACTTCATTGAAGAATAAGTGTGCAATATGCAGGGCATCGATAAGTTTTTAATAGTATAGAAAATGAGCCATTCTAGAGAATTATTTGACATAATATAGATTATAACATGTCCTAAATTGATCTTAGAAAATCCAAGAATGAGATTCATGCCCATGTCCTCCCAACGTAATGTGGAATGGGAAAAATGATGAGAGGCCCCACAGGTTATTAGCTAGTTTTATCCATTTGGTGATGTGGCAATAGCCAAGAATGTTGGCAACATCTTTCTTCATGTAAAATCAATAAAATTGAGTTTTGAAAAGGCTAACGGTACCTGAAATGTGCATACCAAAATAAAGAAATCATGTAGCGATATGCAACTAATCCGGAATAACGAATGTTAAAGAGAGTGCCATCTCTTAGGTAATAATCAGATGGGGGTCATTACTAATTAAATCATGGATAATAAGGCAGAAGTCAAGATGTAGTTATCATGTTTCAATTAGTTAAAATCAGGTGCTGAAGTTGCCATGGTAGACAAGACTGGATGCACTCACTCAACTAAGTGCATCGATGACTTTGTAGCCACTCCAACACGCTCGAGACAAAAGAATGCTTTTGCAGAAAAGTGACCTACTTAGCATAGCGCAAGTTAAGTTTCTTCTGGGAGGGGATATATTTAATTAGCCGGTCTGGTCAGCAATATCTAGATCAAAATCCGTTTATTAGAAAATCATAAAGGGCTACTTGGTTGCAAGATTTAGCAGAGAGTTAGCTAGGATTTAGTCTAAGGCTTGCCAAACAATTTCGAGCCACAAGATGCCAGCTAGCTTCTTAAATCCCAGTTTGCTCCAATTTTTGGCTAAATTTAAGATTTAATAAATACTGGGGGAAGTACAATTTAAGAGATTTACAAGACTTATCCTCACTGTGCCTCTTTCTCTAGATTCAATTAAATCCTAAATCTTATGAAATATATGCCAAACAATTTTCATAATTTAGCACCACCAAGATTTACTGAGCATGAATTAACAAGCTTTACTAAATCCAAATCTACTTCGAAAAGACTCGTTCTCAGTGAACAATTAAGTAGATTTAGAACTAGGGTTTCCGAAAGTACCGATTCCACCGATGAGGCAAGACACCGCCACGATCGGCTCCTGGACAACGAAGATCTTCAACTTCTCCATCACCCCCATTTCCCTCTTTCGTCAGCTAATTTCTCCTTCGGGTAGTTCAGAGTGAATGCGCGCCCGATCGTGCCAGCTCCAAGAAATGATCGCCAGGGCTGGAGAAATGGGTTTTTGGACGGACGGTACGGAGGTCGATTGGAGACGCGACGGGTTGCGGGTTTGGTTTTTATTTCCGGCTGATTTATGTTTCTGATTTCGGTTCGGCCCGCTATCCCGCCCGATTTTGACCGGCTACATTCCTAAATTGCTAATGGCCATGAACCAATCAAAAATTGATCCGCCATCAATTTAATTCAACCCTAATCCAACGGAATAGGCAAACGAGTCAGAAATTCATACTCGGATCTGATCCATCGGGTTGCTAGATTGACTCGACCTGTTAACCCAGGTTGCGAGCAGGATAGCAGGAGAGTTAGGGTGTAGGCCTAGAGGCGAGCGCAGGTGAGAGATGCGGAACTTGAGCGGGCAAGGGTGAGGCACTAGGGTGAGCAGCGCAAGCGTGGGGTGCGAGGGCACGCTACGGGAGATGCACGCGTGGCTGCTTTGTGCAGGTGTGGGTACGGTACGAATGCACTGGCAGTGCAGCAGAGCATCGGTGCCTATGCAGGTGCGGGAACGTAGGTGGGTAGCCAGAGCTCGGGTCAAATTCGGGTTAGAAGGTTGGCACAAACTAGACATGATTTTTCAAATGCAACATAAATTGGAACCCGAACCTGATTGGTTTGTTAAACAGTTCAACATGAACCTGATTTTTCTAGGTCAACTTTGGATCAGATTAACGGGTATAATCAAAATTGACACCCATATCTGACACCTCTATTCGAGGCTCCCAATCAATCACATTGTGACTTCTAATTTCTAAAGGTAGGGATTTTTTTTCTTTTTCTATGGTAGACCCACATATGTTGTATCTCTATGTTCTCTCCATCGCTAAGCATTGGACAACTTCATGATGACATTGTGAGACAGGTGATCAGTGATCACATGACTCTTCCTGAATGTTGCCTCCTTCCCTCTTTTCCATCTTCATTTCTCTCTACATTTCTAAAATCAATGAAAGAAAGAAAAGGCTTAGGTCCAATAATAAATTTGTAAATCAACTCATCTTGTTCTTTTATTTTAAGATAATCATTCCATTGGCATTTTGGCTCTAGTTCTTTGTAGGTTAAGGAAAAAACAAATATTCATTTAGATTTCTTGGTTCAACCTAATGTTAGCTTCCCTTTTTCTCCCCCACATAAATGAGTTGATGGGATGAGTCTGGTCAAAACAGGTCTAGATGAGGTTCATGCTTTTGACCCATTTGTTAAATGGATCGAGTTAGTTCAATGGGGGTCAAGTTTGGGGCTAACCCAAACTCGAACCAAAAATAAATTTTGACATCCCCTAGTCTAATTTTAGTGAGAATCAGTTTACTTAGATTAGTGCCTTCATCTAGTCAATGTTCTGAGGGCCAATTTGTTTAAAATTATCTAGAAAAAAAATATTTTAAAAATATTAAAAAATGTTATAATTCTTTATATGAGATAAATTTACTTTTTGGTGCATCAAATATAAGCTTTTGGGATTTGAAATTTTTCTAAAAGAATGAATAAAAAAATTTAATTAGTACTAAATGTTCTAATATTAAAAAAAAGTATATATTTGTAAAAAAGTAAAGTAATATGATAAAAATCCTTATTACTATTTCCATTGACATTTGATATTTTTATAAAAAGTTTGTATTTCCATTGATGATAGTATATATGATAGTATATATTTCTTCCTCCTAACAAAAAGTTTGTATTTCCATTGACATTTGATATTTTTATAAAAATCCTTATTACTAAAATTATTTTGATTAATCATAATTTAATAGGTTTTAGTTTGTTAATCATATTTTAATCAAGCCCAATTGATTAGTGGATCAACTTAATTGGTCATTGAACCAAAGTTTACCCAATCAAACTAAATTTGACCCATTAAGATCAATTTGATTGACCTCAAAAAGCCTTCCATTTGATTCAAACAAGTTAATCATATCTCGATGGAACCAATTGACCCCTTGATAGTTAATTTGACCCGCTGGACCCATGTTAGTCCAACTCAATATGACTCAATTAAATGCATATCATTATATTGACCAAATTGAGCATGATCAATGCCTATATTTCATCAAATTAAGTTAAGCATAGTCAAAGTGACTCAATTTAGTTTTGACTTACCATATAGACCCTAAAACAAACTTAGGCTAATTGGATCCAACTAAAGCAAATGGACCTAAACCTCAATTGAGCCAAATTAACATAACTCAATTCTCAATTGATTACATATGGATTTATGTTAACTTAAAAAAAAAAAGACCAGCTTTAATACCTTAATCCTAGGGTTAAATCACCTTAACCTTGGATAGAGCCTAATCAGGGCTTATTCCCTAAACCTATAACATATCCCAACCTAATATAACCCACATACAGAATTGGTCATATCATGTTGGATGGTGACAAACCAAGCCCAAGATCTAGTTTTGAGAACTTTTCATATTCATTAATTAAAAACAGATAATAGAGCAATTAAGTAACATCCAATAAAAACAAAAAACATCCACAAATTTCTTCTTTTCATTTTCTCAACACACACACACACACACTCATATATATAATACATGGTTATGATAGAGACATAGTAGAGCACAAAATAACCATGACTATATAAAATCATGAAACCAAAAAAATACCTACACAACCAAATTATTAGAACCTGCCATCTAGCTACATAACCAGCTCTTTACCCTTTCCCTGAATTAAAATAGAATATATAAAAAGTGTGAGGTAATCAACAAATCATACTCACTAATCTAAATTTTTAATATTAAACCTAATATTCATTTGATTGAGTTGAAAAAAATGATTAACAAAGTTAATGTACTAAATAGAATAATGTTGGCAGATAATAGTAATCGAATATGAAGTTTTGATATGCACCAAGAGGGATAGAACTGGCCCAAGCTAACCAAGAGAGAGGTGAATTGAAAAACTTTAAAACCCAAGATAAAACTCCAACCAAAATCACCACAAACAAAGTGCAAAAGAAAAATAAATGCGAAAGCGATAATAAGAAAAGAACACACCGGATTTATAGTGGTTCGATCAAACCTTGATCTACATCCACTTCTTGGAGGCACCCTCCAAGTATTACACTAAAATCGTGACTCTC